GTTAGATAATGTTCATCCATCTTCTATGCATTATTGTGTTATATGGCTTCAATCAGCTTGAGTTTTAGTTGCATCTTTAGTTTTCAGTTTTCATTTTATAAACTTGGATTAAAGTTTGAGTGATAACTGGAATTTGTAATGAAATTTTTGTGATTATAGCAAATATATGGATTGTGAAGATTTCGTTGACTTATTTAATCAATGTTATTGGTAGCATTGTTATAAAAAAAATCCTCCGTGCGCACACGGAGACACCTCATGTGCGCGTAAAGATTTCGTTGGTTTATTTAATCAAATTTGTATAGTTGAAAAAAATGTTATTGGTAGTATTGTATAATATATAAAAAAAAATTGCACAGAGGCACATCCACGTGCACGGAGGCGCTCAGTTTTTTCTTTTTTTTTATACAATACTACCAATAAGAGAAGAAAGACTAATGAAGATTTAATGGTGGGCACTTATTGTATAATCAATTTTTTTTAAAAAAATTGCCATGGAAACTTTTGTTCAGTTTTACTGATTGTTGCTACACATTGAGCAGGTGGACACTGACATTCTGTTTATGACATGCAAAATGCAGTTTCTGGATCTTAACATTTATGCAGTATGATGCTTAGATGGTGATTTTCCCTTTTACAAAATGACAATATTATATTTTAGAGCCTGAATTTGTTCTCCCTCTTTGAGGAGAACAGAGGAGGAGAAACATGTGTTGAGGTGGATAAGGGCATTAGAAAAATAACTGTAAACTAAAATAACAATTTTAGGGATTAGATATATGATTGGAGGGAAGACAAGATAAGTTCTATTTGCAGCTCCTAAGTTTCAATGTGTTAATGTTTATGGTATCTACAAAAAAAAAGTGACTTTTGAGACCTTTTGTTAACCACTGCATATTTTTAGTCTGAAGGAGGAGAGAGATGTTCAGCAAAAAGGAAAGAAAATATATTTTCATGTGCCAAGTATTAGGTGGATGTTTTTGCAAGGGAAAATAGACGTCTAGATTAAAATGTTCATAGAGCTTGTTAATCTTTTTGAGCTAGCTGTTAAGGTTAGTTTGTCTCTTTTTAGAATTATTTGGTGCAGAAATCTTATCCTCAAAGAGATAAGGAAGCTCATGTGTAACTGCCCTCTTGCATAATTTGGCCCTCTCTTTCTTATTGCCAATATTTTTTTTAGGGAAGGGTTTTACAGAACCTAAATAATAATGCTTGTGAATTGGCTTCCCAATAGTGAAAATACTCGGTCGGCTAGCGCAAACATCGAGTCGTTGTCGGGACTTTCATTGTGAATGAAAAGAATGAGGTATATCCAAGTCAACTTGTTCTCTTCTGTGAGCTATATTAGGCTACTCTTTTGGTATGGTTAGATAAGCTGGTTGTGTTGTGGCATGTAATTTAGTTAAGGATTATCGTCAAAAGTGATTATTCATCTATAATGTTGTATCATTTATATTAATAATCGTTGTTAATCTTCAAAAAGAATATTATGTTATACATCGTCATATTTTTCTTATGTTAATAGTTTCTTACAGTAATGATAATGTGAAGGTCACATCGTAATTGCTTTATCATACTTCTATATTTCTATTTAGTTTTTCTTTTTGAATGCAAATGATTGGGCAAAGTTAGCTCCATGAAACTAAGGGCATACTACGGTCATTGCTTGTTTCCTGACTGGTAGTCGAATGTTTAGAATAGATGCCAAATTAGAACGCATATTGTAATATTTCACATCAACTCAGGGTATTGGTCTACAATACCTATTTAGAAATAAAGATTGCATTTTCACGATATCTCAATGATAAATAAGCCCTCAGATTGATGAATTTGTCAAATGTTGTTACCATTCATCTGCTTATTGATCATAGAAATGCTTACAAATGCTGCATTAGAAAAGAAATTTGTAAGAGAAATGTTCTTACCAATAATAAAATGAAATTAGTTGGTTAGGTTCGTTTGAGATGCCTTATGCAAAGAATTTATTATATTTTAAATAATGTAGCTCTTTTCTTTTCTAAGCACAACACTCTTAGGTCTTCTAAGCTGATTTTCGCATCCTTAATATTTTAATAATTTGGCAAATTCATCTTCTTCTCAAGGCATAAAATTTCTAAATCCAGTCCAAACTCAACATTAGCAGCTGCAAAATTATCAGTCAGTCAATCCCCTTAATGTTGAATTCTTTGAACAAATTGTAGAGGAGACTGTGTAGCATATGCATTCAATTCAGATAACTCAGTTGACATAATTTTAATATATTGTAACTCAACAAAAAATAAATGTGAATTCTGCCATTACCATACTTACTGCTGGTAACGAGGAACTACTTTGACTCGAGAATGTCCAAACCCATACTGTTTTGTACAAAAATCTATTGACTTTGACTTGTAAAATATCTCTATCACGTGTAAAAATCTTTATAACTAAATGACCAAGTACGCACATACTAATACATATAAGTGTGATAACTTGATTTGCTAACAGCTTCAATACGTAAGTAAAGAAACAATGATACTGATTATTGTGTTGCATTATTCTTTTTATTTTGATTCTTATGGATTGCAATTATATATAATCTCATTAAGTCGATAAGATACTTTATCTTCTACTTTTCGTATTACTCTAGCGCAAACATCGAGTCGTTGTCAGCACTTTCATTGTGAATGAAAATAATGAGGTATATCCAAGTCAACTTGTTCTCTTCTGTGAGCTATATTAGGCTACTCTTTTGGTATGGTTAGATAAGCTGGTTGTGTTGTGGCATGTAATTTAGTTAAGGATTATCGTTGTTAATCTACAAAAAGAATATTATGTTATACTTCGTCATATTTTTCTTATGTTAATAGTTTCTTACATTAATGATAATGTGAAGGTCACGTCGTAATTGCTTTATCATACTTCTATATTTCTATTTAGTTTTTCTTTTTGAATGCAAATTATTGGGCAAAGTTAGCTCCATGAAACTAAGGGCTTACTATGGTCATTGCTGACTGGTAGTCGAATGTTTAGAATAGATGCCAAATTAGAACGCATATCGTAATATTTCACATCAACTCAAGGTATTGGTCTTCAATACCTATTTAGAAATAAAGATTGCATTTTCACAAACAGTATCTCAATGATAAATAAGCCGCTCAGATTTATGAATTTGTCGAATGTAGTTACCATTCATCTGCTTATCGATCATAGAAATACTTACAAATGCTGCATTAGAAAAGAAATTTGTAAGAGAAATGCTCTTACCAATAATAAAATGAAATTAGTTGGTTAGGTTCGTTTGAGATGCCTTATGCAAAGAATTTCTTATATTTTAAATAATGTAGCTCCTTTCTTTTCTAAGCACAACACTCTTAGGTCTTCTAAGCATGATTTTCGCATCCTTAATATTTTAATAATTTGGCAAATGCATCTTCTTCTCGAGGCATAAAATTTCTAAATCTAGTCCAAACTCAACATTAGCAATTGCAAAATTATCAGTCAGTCAATCCCCTTAATGTTGAATTCTTTGAACAGATTGTAGAGGAGACTGTGTAGCGTATGCATTCAATTCAGATAACTCAGTTGCCATAATTTTAATGTATTGTAACTCAACAAAAAATAAATGTGAATTCTGCCATTACCATACTTACTGCTGGTAACGAGGAACTACTTTGACTAGAGAATGTCCAAACCCATACTGTTTTGTACAAAAATCTATTGACTTTGACTTGTAAAATATCTCTATCACGTGTAAAAATCTTTATAACTAAATGACCAAGTACACACACTAATACATATAAGTGTGATAATTTGATTTGCTAACAGCTCCAATACGTAAGTAAAGAAACAATGATACTGATTATTGTGTTGCATTATTCTTTTTATTTTGATTCTTATGGATTGCAATTATATATAATCTCATTAAGTCGATAAGATGCTTTATCTTCTACTTTTCGTATTACTGTAAAGAAACAATGATACTGATTATTGTGTTGCATTATTCTTTTTATTTTGATTCTTATGGATTGCAATTATATATAATCTCATTAAGGCGATAAGATGCTGTATCTTCTACTTTTCGTATTACTTTTCATGCATATTTCCTTATCAGCCATGTTTCTATATATCTTTGGTGACAGAAAGAAAGCCAATTGGTTGCTAGATTGTTTTAATATTGTTTTCACTATTTTTGTTTCGTCAATATCCCATTCAAAAGGGAATCCTATAGTGGTGGTGTGTGACTTCATGAAACTCGAAGGTGGAAAGAAGTCAAAATATGATTAATTTTAAATTGAATTGTTCAAGATATATTTAAAAATCACTCATTTTATTATCAAGGAATCATAAATGGGAGTAAATCTTGAAAGTTACACATCAAACTGTTATTTATCGCTCGATGCTCTATCCACATAATTCTATCATTTCTTTATATACTTATTTTTAACATTATAAATTAACGTGCAACGCACGTTCACCCCACTAGTTTATTATAATAAATGTATCATCGTCTACTGAGTACTCTAAATTCTTATATATGTTGATTATCGAAGAATTTTTCCTAATCATTTTATTTAATTTTTGTCACAAAATTGCTTTAACTCGTGTAAAACCCTCATCAACATTAATTGGAAACGAGTTAGCAAATCAAATTCGAAACCAATTCATTTCTTGTTGAATAACACAATGAAAAAAAAAAAAAGAAATAATTATTGAAAATTAATCATCTGAATATTCTCTCCAAAATTTTCATCGCTGACAGAATCATTTAACAGTTTCATGAAAAGAAAATCCAAATTCAATCTTTTTGGTTATAATCTGCATCGAATTCCTATCCAAATTTATTCAAAATTCTGGCAAATCCTTCATAGCATCCAGTGTAGAAGTTGAAAAAGAGCTTCTCATTCTATGCATGAACATCAATGAATCTGCGTTGTTATAAAATGGTGGAGCTGATGGCAATATGTCTGTCGAATTCGGATGAACACAAGGTAAACTATTGAATCCAGGATTTGGAGGAACGAACAGGGAATTAACCTGGGAATCTCCGAATGTACAGATACTACCATTGATAGTCTCATCTGTCACAACTGAGGAAGACTCATTGTCATCATTGATCACACTTTTCTTAACATTTTCGTCGTCGCATCCATCGTTCTCAGGTTCGTCCTCGGAAGGTGAGTATCCGGTGAGTTTTTGCACCAATGCCATGAAGTCTCGAGGCTGCGTGTGAATTACTTTCGGAGAATGCGTGTAAATGATGACGGGATAGCGTGGCTGAGGTGGCTTGGACGCGACGCCATTGATAACCGACGACGAAGACGAAGATGGCAATTTCTTGATGAAATGTGAGTCTTTATTGATCTTCAAATGTGGTGGAATCATGCCATTATTGGGTAATTCTTTGTTTACATATTGGTCATGGAGTCGTGTAGGACTCATTGTAACAAGATTTTACCAATGAAATATGAATGTAAATGTCTCTCTCTCTACTTCTATATATGTAGGAACTGAATTTGAGTATATATAGTGAGAAGGGGTGACACGTGGCTGGTTTTGTGTGGTAGTTAATACAGAATTAAGAGGAGTGACAGATGGGGAAAATAAAGAGGTTATCGGATTTTAGTTAGCAAGAGAGTGATGTGAGCGTTAAGTGCGAGCTAGGGTTTGTTAGAGAGGGAGAAGAGGAAATAGATTTGTGGCACATGGCTTTATGAAATGTATATTCGCCCGCGTAAATCGGGGGCAAACCGGGGGTAATAAAGTTTAATATTAAAAACTTTATCATAAAGAAAATCTCTTACGCACCAACTTTTTCTTCCTTTAAAAAAACTAAATGCACATTATAATAAAATACTTTTTAACACACCAACTTTTATTCTCTATCTTTTTATTTAAAAACCCTTATTTAATTCTACGTAAAAGGCCAAGTAAAGCATATTGTCTATGTACGTGAAAGTAAACATTTTTGGAAAATTTATTTCTAGAGTGGATAATTTTCTTTTGGAGGAAACATTGATCTTGGATTATTTCTAATCTATGGATTAATCCACTTAATGACATCTTGAGATTTTAATTTAGTATATCATGGTTGAAATTTGGGGGTTCTAATAATTTGTACCAAACTGTATTATTTTCACAAGTGGCCAATTGTCCTCTTGAAAGCACCAATTCTTATGATTTTAAACTTCCATGGCTAAATGCGGGCTTTTGATCGTAACTTGTAATTTATGGTGCAAATTCGTGGAAAAAGGCTCACGAGCCGCTTTTTTATGAGCCGAGCCGACGAGCCACTCAACTCGATTGCCACCTCTAGTGTGACGGGCGATGTGTACAAGGCCCGTGAATGAATTCACTGTCGTATGACTGACCGGCTATTACTAGCAATTCTGACTTCATGTAAGCTCACCCTCACGAGATCGCGACCCTTTGTCCTGGCCATTGTAGCACGTGTGTCGTCTAGGGCATAAGGGGCATGATGACTTGACGTCATCCTCACCTTCCTCCGACTTATCACCTACAGTTTGTTCAGGATTTCAAACTCAATGATAACAAATAAACACGAGAGTTGTGCTTGTTGTAGAACTTAACCCAACACCTTACGGCACGAGCTGACGACAACCATGCACCACATGTTTCCGCGCTCTTGAAGGCACCCCTCTCTTTCAAGATGATTCGCAGCATGTCAAGCCCTGGTAAGGTTCCTCGATGCAAATATTTCATTTTTCATATCACCATTGATTTGAAATAAAGAATCGTGAAAAATGCAATTTCTAGTCCCCGTCACACATCATTTCTATTAACAAATTTAACATGAAAAACAAAAAAAAAAACCACTCCAGTGATGCAGCCACCAGAAAGTAGGAAATTAAACGCAATTAAATTATAAGGGGTAAAAGTTGGAAATTTTTTCAGGAGTGACTAGCTTATGAAATGAAAAGTGCCCAACACAAATTTCACGGGCTATTCCAGCCCATTACAAAGCCCAGCATAGTCCAAAAACATGACAGGGTCCACTTAGAGCAGAACTAGAGCTCGCTTGCTCAGTTGCTCTGTGTCTATATGCAAGAGTGAGAATCAAAAGATTTAGTTCAAGAGGGTTTCAATATGCAGGCAAAGAGCAAGATCATATAAAACTAGATCATCAGACAAATCCACGACAATTCAACACCACCCTATACCTTCACATATTCACTTTAACCAAAAAAGGAAAAAAAAATCAACATTTAACTGCAATTCAATCACCTGAAGTGCACGTTTCAAGTGTTGACTAATCGTGAAATTCTCTGGTCCCGTTCCCTCACTTGGAAAATTTTGTTATCAGCTTATCAACATGAATTATAATATCATCGATGCAAGGTCGAACTGTTGCTTGAGGCTGCAGCATCCACGTCACAAACTGGTGGAGTGCGTCTGGATATGGAGGATTAGGGCCATTTGGCCACTTTATCTGGGCGTTTACTATGGCTAACTGCAGGCTCCCACCAGATTCCCCGAGTGCATATTCAAATGGAGATACACCATACCTATGGAATTCAGCTATAAGTTAAGCAAGGAGATAAGAGAGAAAATTTGAAGATAATGGAAGCTGAAGAGAAAGCATGACTAGCTAAGCTTAAAAATAAGTAAAATTTATTTTTAACTTTCTTTTTGTTTCCCATAAGTTACTTTTTCTTACTTTAAGTAAATAAATTTACTTATTTTAATAACAATTCTTACAATAGGTTCAAAATAAGTATCTTACTGCAAGAGGCACCAAAAGAGAAATTAAAAGGAAGAGAAAAATGACCAAGTTAATGTGGTAGAAGTTGAAAAAATCATGATCAGTAATCTTTGCCAGAATAGTTTACTATTCTTTTATAACATGGGCATCTGTTCAACATTTGACGCCTTGTGGACTGGTTCCCACTAATTGCTAAATATTCATGGAGTTTAACCAAAACGATGAAGTCAGAAAATAATGTAATTAAAGTATCAACAAAAGAAAGCGTTTCCAATAACCATAATATGTTTTTAAAATTGCATTTTACAAAGTCAAGTCAAACTTCTGATGGGTAAACACATTTGTTGATTTGGAAGACTAGCATAGCTCACAAATATTTGAGTACAACCATAAGCTAATGTAAAAATAATATTTAATTTATCTGTATCGTACACTATTTTGCTGTTCTGAATTTTCAATATCAGAGTTGATTCCTTAGACATCGATATGCTAGAAATCAAATATTTTAATATTTGAAAAAGAAAATTATTCTATAATGCAACAGGAGACTATCCATGTATGAAAACAATTGCAGTTAACTGCCATATAAATGGTTCTGACTTGTCAGTGATGCAGATGTATAATAAGAATAATCCCCCCTTTTCTCCATGAGCACAAAATACATAACTGGCAGACGGATTAACATAATAACAGCATTAGTGTATGTCTAGTAAAGATTTTTGTAGAATATTAAGTTGTGGATCTTACAAGATGTGTGGATAAAAGATGTGGGTCCTACTAAATGTGTGAAGAAAAGATGATGTTTGACCAGATTATTAGCTTGAAAAAGTTTTACCAAACATATTCTTAAATAAGAAAATAAAGATTCAAATCAATATGAACAGATCTTACATGATTGCAAACAATGTGCAGCCTAGTGACCAGATATCAGTTCTCTCATCAATATCTGCATGGCTTGGGCAATCCCATAATTCAGGAGCTCGGAAAGGTGCCGAACAGTGCTCAGAAGCCCATTCCTACTTAATGAATACACAGTGGTCAAATTAAAAGCACCATTGGAAATACAAAACAGACTTATCTGGATTGTGAACCATGCACATTGGACTTGCTCAAATAAGAAATGAACTCACCAAATGCTACATGTCACGTATTAAAGCGACAAACTAGATGTTGCTGTTACTGACTAAATTATAAAATCAAGATTGACACATCCAATGACAGAAAAAGGTAAGATAATATTACAGATTAATACCTGCAACTGTAATGCTTCTGTACGCGACCGAATCTGCTTTCTCGCAGGACGAGAACTTCCAAAGTCCATCAATATTGACAAAGGTGACAGTCCTTTTCTGTATGTCACGAGCACATTACCAGGTTTGACATCATTGTGAGCAAATGGAGTCTCAAAACTGTGCATATGCTCAAGTCCTGCACAAAGCTGCAGATGAACTTTCATTTATCAGTAAAATGTTCTCTCATCATAAAGGCAATATAGATATAGATTAATGATGTAATTGCATATGAAACCACTTACTACTTCCAAACATATCAAATAAATAACATTAACTAAAAATTAACAAAGTTAGCCTATGTTTGGCCCCAATTTTTCCAAAAACTTATTTTTTCAAAACTCATTTTCAGCTACACATTCTCCCATAAAATAATTTTACACATAAATCAAAAAATTTTCCTTATTTTTTAACCATATATTCTTCAAAAATAACTATTCCAAAACATATTTTCTTACAAAATGGGGCTCAAACAGGGGCATAGTGACCTCAACATACACATAATTTTAACACAGCAATTAAATTTGTATATAACAAAAAAAAAAATGTTACGTTTAGGAGGCAGAACTAGTTTTTCCACCATACCTGACGAAATATTTGAAGCACATCTGAGGTAGAAAAGAACTCCTTCTTAGCTTTCATAGCATTCGCAATGTCAAATAATGTTCCATCCAAATGCACAGGAAACAACAAATATGCTTCATGCTTCCAAGATTGATCTTGTGATGCCTAGCCAATTAAAAAAAAAGGACAAATTACCCCCATAACTTTTAGAAACAGAGTTGACTAAACTGGACTAAAAACTGAACAAGAAGTGCAAAGTCTGGAAGCCCTTTGGGCTCTTGCTCACACACACACACACAAGATTAACACCTTAACCTTTCTTCAATGAATAAAATACATTATGAGAACATATAAGAATGAAGATGAACAAATAGTAATTACCTTAACAGCAATGATTGCATGATCAAGAAGAGGAAGCAGATTGGGGTGGCTAAACTGAGAAGAAATTTGAATCTCCTCTCTCACCAATTCCAATTGTTCACTGTTTTGAATAAGAACTTTCTTCATTGCATATGTTCCATCAGCTGCAGATTTAACCATGCAATAGACTGTTTAAATCACATTGCATTTTATTTTTTTCCCCATTTGGCAAAATTAAGATACAATTTGCTCTTGGGTGACATTAAGACATAAATTGAACATCCTCCCCATTTGGCAAATGCCTGTATACAATTTCCTCTTGGGTCATTGAAGTAATTAGGCACATCGTTAGCTAGTTTATCTGTATCTGTATTTCATTTCAACTTACATTTTAGTAATTAAGGCATCTGAAAAACAAACTTCTAGTTGAAATATATTAATTACCTACTTGTACTCTTTGTTATTGTTAGGACTAAAGTGCAATATTTCTTTTTAACATTGTATATATTCTTGTATACCTTCCTTTTATCTATATACGAGTTTAAGTTTTCCCCAAATCGCTACTTGGTATCAGAGCACAGTAACCCTATACGCCGGCGACTTCCTTCCCGTTACCCAGACGCCGGCGACGGCGCTCCTGTGTCTGCACAGTACCGGCGACCCTTAGGCGCTCTGTTCTTCCTTTTTCCTGGACCGTTGCAGGTTACCCAGCCTGATTTCCCGTTACCCAGCCGAAGCCGAAGTCGCGTCTGCATCTGATCAGCTCCGGCTTCCGTTTTTCCAGGTGTCTTCTTGGCCATTTCAGTTTTTTTCTTCTTGGTTTTGCTCGACCAACCTGTAGCTCCAGACAATTCCGTTTTGTTTTTCCTAATGACATGTTCAGACTTCTACATTGCATTAGTTTCTGGTGAAAGAAATGGCATTATTGTTAGGGGCTACTGAGGTTTTTCCATAGATTTGCGACTATGCCTGAAATTGGTTGTTGAAAATTAAATACCATATTGGTCGAGACATTGGGGATTGGGACATGGTGCATATGGGTTCTGAAGTTGGGGTTTTTTGAAGTTTTTTTCTGTTGGTACTGTTCTTGTATTGATTTGGACCCACTGTTTAAGCTGGTTCTCGTTTATTCAGCCGTGTCATTTTGGTTTCTTGAGGCTGTGTACTGGGTTAATTGGTTGAAGATCAAACTTGAATTGTTTGCATTTGGGGGTTTGCATTTGGTGTTTCCCGTGCTCTCCATTCTTCCGCGATCTACTCTTGAAAGAATGACTTCTCACGTTGCTTGTTCATCTTCTGGGGAAGGTACCTTTGGGCTGCATTCTACTTCTACTGCATCTGATTGTTGGGTTATAGATTCTGGAGCTACCGATCATTTTACCTGTAATTCCTCCACATTTGACTCCTTGACAACTCCGCCTGTTCAGTCTGTTCAAGTGGCTAACGGGACTCCTGTTAAAGTTACCGGGGCTGGAAGCGTCTCGTTTTCACCTACTTTTTCTCTCTCATCCGTCTTACTTGCACCCACTTTTTCCACTAATCTCATATCTATTAGTAAAATTACAAAGGATCTTGATTGATCTGTCATTTTTTCACCAACTCATTGTGTATTTCAGGACAATCGAACGAAGATGACGATTGGCACTGGTAGAGAGAGAGGAGGGTTGTATTTTTTGGAGGGAACAAGGCGGTTGCAAACTGAGGATACCCACGGTCTCCAAGTTGTTAGTAAATCTTCTCCAAGAGAGAAGATCCTTTTGTGGCATTGTCGATTAGGTCATCCTTCATTTACTTACTTAGAACATTTGTTTCCAAAACTTTTTGAAAATATCCCTAGTTCTAGTATGCGGTGTGAACAATGTATTTTTGCCAAAAATCATCGTGTACCTTTCAAAGTCAGTTTTAATAAAAGTTCTGTTCCTTTTGCTTGTGTTCATACGGATGTTTGGGGACCTTTCTCTACTCCATCTGCTACAGGTCATAAATATTTTGTCTCTTTTATTGATGATTGTACCAGAGTTTGTTGGATATATTTGCTAAAATCCAAGGGTGAAGTCGTTCATGTTATTCCAAAATTCTTTAAAATGATCGAAACACAATTTCACACTCGGGTTAAAGTTATTCATTCTGACAATGGTCGTGAGTTTGTAAACCAAACCCTTGACAACTTCTTCTCGACTCACGGCATTCTTCATCAAACCACTTGTGCTTACACACCTCAACAAAACGGCATCGCCGAGCGAAAAAATCGACACATTCTTGAAGTAGCTCGGGTTTTATGTTTTACTATGCGTGTTCCAAAACGTTTTTGGGCTGAGGCGGTGACAACTGCTGTCTTTCTCATAAATCGCATGCCCACTCGCATCATTAACTTTCAAACTCCTTTAAGAATGTTGTCACAGTTTCACTCTATTCCTTCTGCTTTAAATATCTGTCCCAAAATTTTTGGTTGTGTGTGTTATGTTCATGTGCATTCTCATCTAAGAGATAAATTTGATCCTCGTGCCCTGAAATGTGTCTTCCTTGGCTACTCAAGCTCCCAGAAGGGCTACAAATGCTTTCATCCCCCTACGGGAAAATACTATGTTTCTATGGATGTGGAATTTTGTGAATTGGAATCCTTCTTTTCTGATGACGTGTCGTTAGTTCCTCTTCAGGGGGAGATTAGTAGTAAGGAAGAGGAACAAGTGTGGTTACATGAAAAGGAAGTGTGGATTTCTCGGAAGGAGGGAGAATCTCAAGTTGAATCCCAAATTGAAAACCGAGTTGAGGATGATAGATCACCTCGCTTGTTCCAAAAGTGTTATACTAGGAGAAACTCAGACAATGTTTGCACTCCTATATTACCCTCTTCAGGCCCTGACAACCCTCCGGTCGATACTACAGTGCCATCTGATTCTTCGGAGATTGAAAATGAGGTACCTACTTTGCTTACTCCTTCTCCTCCTATCTCTGCTTCTGATTCTAATCCTGCAGCTTTAGATATTGCTGATACACAGGATAGGAGATATCCTCTTCGAGTCCATAATAAGCCGGATAGGTTTGGTTTTTCGAAATCTTCTTCTAATGCTATCTTTCCCATCTCAGATTATATCTCGTACCATCGTTTATCTACGACTAATTTGGCGTTTGCCCTCCAACTATCTTCTGTATCTATCCCTAATCATTTTCAGGAAGCTCTTGATCAACCTAAGTGGAAATCCGCTATGGTAGAAGAAATGAATGCTCTCCAAAAGAACTCTACTTGGGAGATGGTCTTATTACCACCAGGGAAAAAGACTGTGGGATGCAAGTGGGTGTACTCGTTAAAATACAGGTCCGATGGAACTGTAGATAGGTATAAAGCTAGATTGGTTGCCAAAGGGTACACACAGACTTATGGGATTGACTACCAGGAAACTTTTGCTCCAGTAGCTAAGATGAATACCGTTAGAGTCATCCTATCTCTAGCAGTCAATCTTGATTGGCCATTGAGGCAATTTGATGTTAAAAATGCATTTCTTCACGGTGATCTGATAGAGGAAGTGTATATGGATCCTCCTCCCGGTTTCACTCCTCCAGGGGGTAATATGTGTAAGTTGAAGAAAGCCTTGTATGGGCTAAAACAATCACCAAGGGCGTGGTTTGGAAGATTGAGTTGTTCAATGAAAGAGTATGGCTTTAAACAGGCCTTGGCTGATCATACTCTATTTTATAAGAGAGATGGTCATGATATTACTATGCTCATTGTGTATGTGGATGATATGATTGTTACTGGGAGTAATCCTTGTGAGATTGAGAAACTCCGAAGCCATTTGACAAAGGAGTTCGAAATGAAGGATTTGGGTACTTTGAAGTACTTCTTGGGCATTGAGGTATCACGGTCCCAGCAAGGACTTATCCTATCTCAACGCAAGTACGTCCTTGACCTTCTAGCAGAAACTGGTATGTCGGCTTGTGTCCCTGTAGACACACCTATTGAGGTAAATCATGGGTTGTCTATTTATCCTGATCAGATCCCCACAAACAAAGAGAGATACCAGAGATTGGTGGGGAAGTTGATTTATCTAACCCACACTAGACCTGATTTGTCATATGCAGTTAGCGTTGTGAGTCAATTCATGCATAACCCCAGTGAGCAGCATATGAGTGCAGTGAATCGGATATTGGCATATCTGAAGTCCTCTCCAGGCAAGGGCATTTTATACTCAAAATGGGGGAATTTAGATATTGTGGGTTACACGGATTCTGATTTTGCTGGATCGAGACTGGACAGAAAATCCACATCAGGATATGTATCATTTGTTGGAGGTAATCTTGTGACTTGGCGGAGTAAGAAACAGAATGTGGTCTCACTATCCAGTGCTGAGAAGGAATATCGAGCATTACATCATGCAACTACCGAACTTACATGGCTAAAACTTCTTCTTAGCGAACTTGGCTTTGGTCCGGACAAGCCTATGTTACTTTTTTGTGATAACACTGCTGCTATTAAAATTGCAAACAACCCTGTACAACATGATAGAACAAAGCATGTTGAACTTGATAGGAACTACATCAAAGATAATCTCGACTCCAAAAATATAGAGGTTCCATACATCAAGAGGGCTGAACAACTGGCTGATATAATGACACATGGAGTTGCTAGTGGTCCATTCTATGCAGTGATATCCAAGTTGGGCATGTGTGATATCTATGCACCAACTTGAGGGGGAGAGTTGAAATATATTAATTACCTACTTGTACTCTTTGTTATTGTTAGGACTAAAGTGCAATATTTCTTTTTAACATTGTATATATTCTTGTATACCTTCCTTTTATCTATATACGAGTTTAAGTTTTCCCCAAATCGCTACTCTTCTCATACCAAAAATTCACATCAATAAAGCCATTAATTACCTTTCAAATCCATAGAGACTGACAATCTCTAAGAAGGCACCAATCATGTATAACTTTTTCAAAATTAGAAAATTACTGGCGAAAGACACTTCAATTTCCAGATCTGTAGCAAATAGTGGCAAATTTTAGGATGTTATTTCCAAGTTACATTATTTTCATGCAAAATCCCTTCTTCCTTTTCTCTTGTGAAACGAGATTCAAATCAAAGCCAAAACAACAACCCATAATAACAAATAAAAAACCCAAATTCCCAGATCCCACGTCAAAACCAAAAGATCACATATAAGTAAACACTCCTTTAAATCACCAATTAACATTTGCATTTTTAAACTTCAATCGAAAATCCGAAAGTATGGGAAAAAATTACCAGAGACGTGAGAAGAGTCCTTGATTTTCTTAGAAATTCCAGGGCTGGATGGATCAGATATAACCTCCTTGACAAGGAAAACATATGCAAATCCACCCTCTCCCAGCTGCCTCAAGACCCTGAACCGGTTCTCATTGATCCAAACGTCCCCCCCACCGTTAACGGCGTCATAAAGGGCATTCAGTCCCGAAAACGAGCAACCCATCTCAGTATATATCTATCGATTCGTTTGCTCCTCTCCAAGGATCCGAAATTGAATGCAAATGGCGAAAATTCTCTCCCACTTCCACACACACTCTCTCTCTCCACACCAGTACGCCCTAGAGTTAAAAAATAGTGCGATTGATTGAATCTAATTCATGAGTAAATACTTAATGGTACAACCGTACAAGTTTCCCATCTCAGATGGTAACATCAAACTGTGTTTAGACAGAATTTTCATAAACCTACGTGGGGTTGTTTTCGAAATTTTGTGATTTCCGTGATACCACCTCTTCTCCACTGTTTGTATACAGAGGGGCCCACTATCAATTTCAAAAAAAAAAATGCTAAACAACCCGCGCCGGTGATCGCGGGGATGACCGCACACTCACAGCCGAAGCGCAGGTCCCATGTGAATAAAATAATCCCGACCCGTCATGTGTGTGTGCACAGTCACCCACGCGGGCACTGTAGCACGGCTCAAAAAAAATAAAAAAAAATCAAGGTACGCAATGCTCATAACGTCCCTCTAGACGTGCCTTCTATCGAAACTCCTACGGAACCAAGATCGAAAAGATTGAAAAAATCAGTCCCAGAGAATCTGCACACTGGAGTTGACGCTTAGCAAAGTCTTTTATTAATATATAGTTGAAATTATACATTTTTTTCTAATTTTTATATTAAATAATAATTTAAATATAATTAATTTATATTTATTAATAACTAAGTAGGTTAAATAGTTAATGGGGAGCGTATTAGAAATTAAATAAATGTTTACTTTCAATAAGGAAGTTGTCATTAATTTGGGACAAACGAAAAGAAAATCAAGTCCACCGATCGACCAATACTATTTTCATTTTGGATTAATTACACAAGTTGTCCTAACCTATTACATGAGTTAGTTTCTACCTTTAAAACTTGGAAGAATATTTTAGTCTTAACATTTTTATTACAATTCCAATCATTCTTCAATTGTAAACGTTGAATCGATTCACATGTGCAACTCTATGAATGTTTTGCTTTTCAACTAGGTCGATGCGTAGAACTTTATAACAAACAAGTCTCTATAGGGAAGATAATTTAATGAAGATTTAGGGTTTGCTTCACAAAACTTCTATTTTTTTGCTTTTATTTCTTGTAGGAAGACTTTCTACAAAAGATATATTGAATTAGTTGGACAAGACATGTGCTTCTACTTTTTATAAAAGAGTTATGTGATAAATCTATCCTTAATGTCCTTCTTGAAGGACTTCTCTTTTTGCATCTTGTAGAAGAGTTCTTAAAATAAGTTGCATTATGTCAGTTTTTTCTAAAAAGTTCTACTCCGACAAAATATTTTCTAAAAATTATTCAAATATATTCAGACACAACTTCTTAGTCTAAAAAATAGTATTGACTTTTGAAAAGCCCTACCAAACAAACTTTTAAACCGTTATGCAATTATAATAAAAAGGTAGTAGGATTCATTCTCAACCTACTATACAAATAACAAGACTTTGGTCTTTGGAGTAGGTATGTTAAGAACTTGTTTGAGCCTCATTTTTTTTGTCCAAAATGAATTTAGAATAGTATTTTGATAGAGAATGTGTGGTTAAAAAATAAAAATCTTGGGTTTGCATGTAATAACATTTTATTAAAGAATGTGTGATTGAAATAAGATAGAGAAAAATGTATTTTGATAATAATATGGACCAAACAATGGCCATGGGGCAAATGAGCCGTTCGGCTTGTCTACCGTTGGGCTCAACTTAGCTCTGCACACACGCCGGTTTGCGAGCCAACGAGTAGCTCCATGAGATGTTCAACTTCGTTCATCCGTTTGAGATCCATGCGCCTGCCCTGCACATTGCGTAAGGTTCTTGTATAAATTTGACTCTTTTATGCATAGGGGAGTTAAATAAATATTTTTTTTTTTTGAAAGAAATATTTTTAACTTGTAAAAAGTGATTTTTGTTTGTGAAAATTATAGAGTAAACAAAGACTGAGCTCAATTGATTGCAATTGTGAAAAATGGATGAAAAGAAAATGAATTTCAGGAAAAATAATTGCCTAAAAAATATTTTGTATGGAATTGTTAATTAAGTGTGTTTGATTGATATAATTTTTCACCCGGAAAAAATTTTAAATTTTGTGTTCGTTTGACTTTGTTTTACATGAAAATTGTTCATTAAAGTAATAATTTTTTTTTCCACAATTGGTTATAAAATTTGTATCCATTGCCAAAAAGGCAAAAAGATAAAGGAAAAAAAATTGTTTACTAAAAAATCATTTTTTTAAACAAAGTTTAGT